TTTTTTTTTTTTTTTTTTTTTTGCAGGGAACAGGGAATTACAGCTTTTCCTGGAGGAGACGCTGGTGTCTGGTTGTCCAAAGGGAGAAGGAGATTGTTAATTTTCCAGAAGAAAGAAGGAAAATTCCTGTTTTCCCGAGGGAAAGGGAAATCCCTGGATTTCCAACTGTTTTCTGGTTTTCCTAAGAGGAAGAGGGAATTTTCTAGTTTTCCTAAAGGGAATGGGAATGTCTGTGTTTCCACAGGGAGAGGCTGCTTTCTAATTCTCCCGAGGGAAGATTAAATTCCTGTTTTTCCTGAGGGAGACGCCGATTCCAGGTTTTCCGGGTGGAAAAGGAGAATCCTGTTTTTCCCGAGGGAGTGGCTATTTCCTTGTTTTTCCAAGGGAAAAAGGAAGTTTCTGGTTTTCGAAAATTCCAGGTTTTTCTGAAGGAATAGGAAATTTCTCTTCTTCCTGAAGGATGGTCCATTTTCTGACAACTCCTGAGGGAAGAAGAGTAATTACAGATTTTCTGGAGGAAGAGGCAGGTTCCTGGTTTTCCTGAGTGAAAAGGAATTGCCTGTTTTTCCTGGGGAAAAAAAGAGGAATACGTGTTTTTCCTGAGGAGGAAGTGGGTTCCTGGTTTTCCTGAGGAAAAGGCAGTTTCTGGTTTTCTGGAGGGAAAGTTTGGGTTCCATTTTTCCTGCTGGAAAAGGAAATTTTTCCTGAGGAAGAGGCCCCTTCCTGGTTTTCATGAGGGAAAAGAACTTCCTTCTCCCGTGAAAAATTAACTTTGTTTTTCCAGTGGGAAAAAGACATTTCTTTTTTTCCCAGTGGGAAAAGGAAATTTCTGGGTTTTTTTTCCAGAGGCAGAAGCTGGTTCCTGGTTTTCCTAAGGAAAAAGGGAATTTCTTTTTTCCTAAAAGATAGAGCAGTTCCTTCTTTTCCTGAGGGAGAGGCTGGATTCTGCTTTTCCAGAGGGAAAATTTAATTTCCTGCTTTTCCAGAGGGAACCTTTGGTTCCTGTATTTCCCCAGGGAAAAGGAATCTCCAGGTTTTCCCAAGGGGAAAGGCAATTCCTGTTTTTTCTGAGGAAAAGCCCAAATCCTGGTTTTCCCAAGGAAAAGCAAATCTTACTCTCTGGAAGGAGATACCACTTCCCAGTTTTCCCAAAGGAAGAGGAAATTTCTGGTTTACCAAGGGATTGGCTGGTTCCTGGATTTCATGAAGGGAGAAGAAATTCCTGGTTTTCCTGAAGAAATCTGGTTTTCCGGAAGGAAGAGGAAATTTCGGGTTATCCTGAGGGAAAAGGAAAATTTTAATTATCTTGAGAGAGAAGGAAATTTCTCGTTGTCCTGAGGGAAAAGGGAATTTTTACTTCTCCTGAGGGAGAAGGAAAATTTTAATTACCCTGAGGGAGAAGGAAATTCCTGGTTATTCTGAGGGAGGAGGAAACTTCTGGTTATACTGAGGGAAAAGGGAATTTTTAATTATCCTGAGGGAGGAGGAAACTTCTGGTTATACTGAGGGAAAAGGGAATTTTTAATTATCCTGAGGGAGAAG